TTTTAATTATAAAATTGTTCTCCCCACTATCTTTCTCTATGTTAAAATGCATGCATAAAAAAAAAAAAGGTCATTTAAAAAAAAAAAAGAAGTGTAAAATTTCCCATTCTCCGTCATTTTCTTCAAACTAAACCGATAGTTACTCTTTCGTACATGCCCAAAAAAAGGTGTGTCCTGCGTGTACGGTACGGTATTTTTGCGGGTACACTCGTAAATAAATAAAATATAGACTTTACATGCAGAACCTAAATATGAGATCATGGACCACGGCGGCGGCTGCCATAAATTTCGCAGTAAAACCATCCACGTTCACGGCGGCACCGCCTTTTTGCCTTTCCGGATCTGCTACAGAGATATATACGCAAACTCCAGGTGAGTCCCCAATCTCAGCCGTCCAAAATAGTGGGCCATCATGAATATAAAATTATATTTAAAAAATGAAAGTTAAATTTTAATTTATTAATTGTTTATTAAATTCACCTATTTAATATCAACATTAAAATTAATTTCAATTTTGAGATATTTTTATGTATTTATGACAAAAATATATTTTAACTTATGTGAGTGTGTCCTTAACAAAATCTTCCTCCTTTCTTCTTACCCCTCCCTTCCTCCTTTTGACCTCCTCCTTCCTCTTGTTTTTGTTTTGCTTTGAAAATTTCAATCCAAAGAACTACAAGATAGCAGCTTTCTGGGTTTTCTAGGATTTACATTTGTTGATATTCAAATGTTGTAATTAGAATTGATCTTATTGGTGAAGTGGGTTTCTCTTATTTAACGGGTAAGAATCTCGCTTTGGTGTATCTCCTCGATTGGGATCTTGGTGAGGGCTAAATTTGGCAAATTTGCTTCATATCAATTCTCGATCAGCTAGCCGATTGCTAAAGGAAAGGAATGTTGTTGTAAGGCCTACTTCGATTTGCGTGGGAAATTTGATTTTCAAGTTGGCAAAAGGGCTCTAATTCCCTTAATAAGTTTTGATAGCATGGGTTTGAAGAGGATTGACAAAGATGAGAACATGATTGAGAGTATATGGAGGCAACTGGGAGGCTTTGTGCTTGTGAGGAAAAGGTCCATAAGTAGGGCGGCAACTTTTGGGTTAGGGACTATTTATTGTCGAAATCCATCACTCTTCTTAAAAAGTTGGTTAAATAGGTGAGGATGTTTAATAGTTTTTAATATTCATAATGACTCCCCTTTTTACATCAGTAGTCATATTTAACCCATATAACGATTGTAAATTCAATCCCTAGTTGTAGATGGCTCTCTTTATTTAATTGTCTATATTTATCATGTGCATAGTTTAAATCTGTTATTAGTGCTATTGGTTAAACTTCTTATTTTGTCTTTAAATTATTTTGATTTTACCTATATACCATGAAATGAAGATTTTGTTATAATTTTTTTATTATTTAATATATTTTTCTATTTTTCATTAAAAAAAAACCTTTTGTTAATATATTTCTCTATTTTTTAAATAAAAAATATTCTTCTAAGTCCATACCGTTTACTTTTTGTAGTAACGGTGATGAAGATGCTGCTCTGCACTTATTCACGCATTTTTCTTGCAACTCAAGAAGAATTTTATTTTTCAGTTCTCTTTTTTTTTTTCTTCTTCTTCTTCTTCTTCTTCTTCTTTCTAGATTAATAATGGATCATACAATATGAAATATTTGTATAATTTTAATTTTTTAGTTTAAGATTACGTAGGGAATATATCACTTTATTTCCTTTTTCAGATTTCCTTCAAGTTTGTAAAATTTGTATAACAGACTTCACAACAAAGAACATTTTGATACTTTAGGTGGGGAATTAAGCTCAAGAACTTTAGATTTTTGAAACTTTTATATTATATTATTTTTTAAAATTTAATTATTTATCTAAATAAAAAGAAAAGAGGTAAAAAAATTCCCCTCGTCTCCTTTTCTCCCTCTTTTCCTTCTCTAAATCCTGCTCTACCCAAATAAGGTTAATGAATCAACATGTAAAAAAATTTTATTAAAAATAATTAAATAATTTCACAAATAATTCTTTTATTTTAAATGCTAAAATGTTTTGATTTTCATTTTCTAATTATGAGTGTTATTTTCAATAACGAAATTTCACAACATGTAACAATATAATATTGATGATTAGCTATTTAGCTTATTTTCAAAGGGTGTTTTTTTTTACCCCTGATTTCCCTTGTTTTATGACAAAACATCCTTTCTTGTCCACGGTTTTGACTTTTGACAAACATCGAAAAAGGAATTGACAGTTTTTAAACGGTTAACTTCTATCCAATATGGTTGTAATTATTATATTTTAATTTTGATTTTTAAAAATTTTTAAAATTTTAGAATAAAATTAAGAAAATTTATAAATTAATTAAATTTTAAATTTTAAATATTTATTTAAACATTTTATACATAATAAATTGATAACTTTAATTTTTATTTTTAATTTTTAATTATTTGAATTTTAAAATTTAAAAACAGAAAACTATAACCATACTATAGCCTTAAACTGTTTGATTAACCAGAAATAGTAGAGTTCAATTTTGAAATGCAAACTACAAAGAGACAAAAACCCGGGAAAACATGCTGAGCATATGTGCCTGTTCTCCTGCATGCTTGCAACAGATGGACTCTTTCTGTCTGGGAATAAAAGGGAAAGCAACAGAAAAATAGAGAAATCCTCAAATAATAGTTCTACTACTAATATTAGTTCTCCTCACAGAGAAGACATTTTACATAACCCACGTCACATTGATCATAGTGACGAAAATTTCCTCAAATAATATTTCTAGTACTACTATAAAATTTTCCGACTGATTTAAAAATCAAAACCCATATAAATATTCTTGGGTTTTTTAAGGTCAGATAATATTTAAAATCATAAGAAGAATAATAAAAGAGAAAACCAGATCAGAGAAGCAGAGAATCAGCTTCATCTTGACCCTTTTCTCCCCTCAAAAAAAAAAAAAAAAAAAAAAAAACTCACAATAACCATTACTTCTTCATCTGAGCATGGATGTTAGAGATTGGAAAACAACCTCTTCACATGGAATGGTGAGACCCATGTCATGATCGAATCCAAATTCTTCTTCTGCCTGATGAAGAAGGCTCTGAAACTCAGGCCTACTCAAGAAGGATATAGGGACGATGTATCTGCTTCTCTTTTCTCCAACATATACCACAAAATGACCTTTTGGGACATCCAAGGGCAGGCCCTGTTCATCATAGGTTTGTTTCCTTCCCAGGCTTGAACATCTCTTGAGGATTTGCTTGATGACAGCTGCTTGAGGCAATTTGTTTGATTTCCTGATAGCCATTTTGTAGGTTTTGGTTTGGAAGAAAAAAAAGAAGAAAAGTGGACTGGCGGAAGAGGAAAGAGAAAGTTTGAAACTTTCTCTTTTGGGTGAGTTGGGTGGGGAGGAAATGGGAGGTGTTTGGGGTGTATATATGGAGGGATTGAGCGGGTTGAGTGAGAGAGAGAGAGAGAGAGAGAGAGAAAAGGAGTAAAGTGGACTTGTGGGGACAAAGGACAGACCATGGGTGTTTTTGGGTTCTGTGTGACCGTTTGCGTTCAAGGACGTGTTTGAAGGGCAACCCCTTTGGCTTTGGGATTAACCCCCCCTGGTTGCCTTCCCAGAGGACACCATGGCCCCTCTCTCTCTCCCCCTCACTCCTTTTCTAGCAATTCTTGTCTATCAAATACTGTACTACTTGTTTTGGGTTAGAGAAGTAGCATCCTTCAATTACCAAAGTTTCCAAATGTTCAATTATTTAAATCCAAAAGGACCAAAACTCTCTCTTAAAGTCATCTTTTGCCTTGCAAAATATGGAAGAAAAGTTCTGATCCATGTCCAAAGCAGAACAAAACTGAATTGGGTCCTAAGTTTAGGTTTATCTTGTTCACCCTTTATGGGTCTCGTTGACACACATTTCCACTTTTTTATTCAAATTGGATAGTAGTATTACTAATATATTAAATTGTTTTTTTATTATGTATCTTAAAAATATAATTTAAGAATATATTTATGAAAATAATATCTATCAGCTTTATTTTTTAAAAATTAAAAAAAAAATCATTTTAAAACTACGTCGTTTCAATAAATTTTTATTGAAAATTATATTTATTATATTTTTTATAATTAATTTATATAGAAAATATAAATTTTAATTTTAATTTAATTAATTAACTAATTAAAATTATTTATGTGACAATAATACAAAAATAAAAATTAATTTTTATAATTTATTTTATATATTAATTATAAAAATATATTTATTATATTTTTAATCAATATTTTAAGGGTATAGTTAAATAAACCCTATATTAAAAAGCAAAGGTTCTTGCAAGGAAGCAGGGCCTACACTACCTAGCTGAATTAAAATGCAACTCCCAATGTAAATTCTTCCCCCTCTGCTTTTCTTATCTTCCAATCTGATTTTTAATTTTTTACAAATGCCAATAATAACTGTACTGAAATGTACCTCCACTTGCCTCAGTCTTTCACATGCATGAAATTATTAACAATTACTGAAATTAACCATGATCTCACTTGCACCGAGCCTTTCGGGTCAAGTGGTAATAGTCACTCATGGTGCATTCTCCCTTCCCCTAGAGCTGGAGTTCGAATCCAGCCCTTTGTAAAAATCTGTTAAAAAAAAAAACCATGATCTCACTTTAAATGGTGAATTTTTAGGACGGTATATTAGGTCTTTTCTGTTGCTTTTCTCCTCCATCTCCAGCTGTGGTATTTACACCCAAAATTGTAGATTTTTTTCCCCCGAGATTGTAGAGAATGGAGAAAAGTGAGGTCAGATTGGACCACAATGCAGAAACTAAAGAACCAAATGGACAGTTTAACTACAACTACAATATCACATGTTATTGTTTGCAAAACAATTATTAAAAATCCCTTTCTTCTCTCTTTCAAATCTTTCTTTAGATGTAACTGCCTATTGGGGGGCTCCCCTTTAAACAATTTGTTTGCATTAAGAAGATAAATAGTCTCTCCCCCATCAAGAAAAAAAATGCTTCTAAAACCAATAAAAGAACCTAAGAATCTTAGATTTGAAGGTTTAAGATGAATCCCACCTAAAATTCTGAGCATATTTTTAGCCAGAATCATGAATTTTCTATGGTTATTACTTCGTTCTGAGTCAACCCCTTGTTTCTTTCTTACAGAAAGTAGGTTACAGAATTAATTTCCAGCAACATGCACCTATGCTCCTATATGCTAGCTCCCTATAATATTAAAGTCATGATGTTACTGCCATTTTGATTTGTCCTTGTAAATAGTGATCCTCCAATATTTTTATTAACTCCATTGTTTACATAGATTAGGGCTGGCTATGTTAATTAAAAAGTAGTAGAATTTTATTTTGCATTTTCAATGTAGGATTGGGGTAGCGATTGGTGCAAAATGAAATGTTTAATTTCTTGGAGATGTCTTTAAAGCATAAGTGGTCCTCCTGAGTCAGTAATGAGACATAAAATTGAGTGTAAATGAGAGAAAACCGCTTGCATTTTCTGCACTTTGCAGTTCAGCTACTCTTCTTCCCACCATGTTCCGTGGTCGAGAGAGAACCAACCAGTCCCTTGTACCAGAAGTAAGGTATACCAAATGCTTGATGCGCCAACGCTTTGCCTTAATTTATATGCATTAACATGTTGTGTGCTGGTCTAAACTAGGAGTACAGAGATGTACATAAATTCTTACGTCCGTAGCATGTATCAACCCTTTATCAATGTTTTGACTTTTGCATTTTGGACCTTAATGGGTTAGCTTGATTAAGAGGGTTGTTTCTATTGGAAAGAAATGCGTAATCTAGGATTTTAGGTACATTTAGGAATGGTAAAGTCACAACATGTTTTTAATGAGTTTTGTTAGAGAGGATACGTGTATGGAGAATTAATTATGAAATTTAAAATTAGTTGATTCGACGTGTTAAATTAATTATTCAAATTAAAGAGAACTATTAAGTCCACCAAATCAAAAAAAGGAGTTCGAAAAGATCCATCCTTGATATAATGTTTTGAAGTTTTTTTCTTTTTCTTTTTCTTTTTCAACAGTTTCCTTCCCTATCTTGTTTGACAATGGTTCAATCTCTAAGAGATGTTAAATTGGTAAGGAACTATTTGGACCAACTCCCATACTTGAATCTTCAAAATCAGACTACTCCCTAGCAGCTTCATTAGAACATGGGGTGAACTTTTTAGGAGTAGTCGGTCTTTTAAGTCTTAAAGCACTTTAATAAAGGCCTAATTGTTAGGATTATAAGAATGGACCATGGGTCATCGTTTAAATTTGTAATTTTCAAGAGGAAAACCATTCCGTATGTTCTGTGAATGAGAATTGTTACTTGGAGGATAAGAACAAAAGAAATATCATTGGGTACTCAAGTGCAATGGGACGGAGAGATTTTATAAGGGAAATACTATCCCTGTCATTCGACCTACAAAAAGAAAATATCTAGAGTTGGGCCCCAAAACATTTACCCAAAGGGTGTGATGACCTCTATGTTCTTCAAAGAAAATGACCCGTTGTTTGAAAGCACACGAAACTTCATCTTTTCTTATCATTCTTATTCAGGAATATTGTCCAAATTCTTGAAGGATACTAAACCAATGAGTTGGAGTTGAACCATCTTTACCTAAAATTCATAAACAGAGCCCCAACATTCATAATATGATTAATCACTTTTTGTGCACCACGTTGCAAAAAATGGAAAAAGGATCATACAGAGTGTATGTAAGATATATAAATACGCCTGTCCTGTAAAAGGGTAGACAACATGCATTAAACATGTTCGATGTCTCAAAACAATTTTAGAAAGTAAAAGAGCTCTTTAGTGTTGGCACTGTTTGCTTAACCACACTAGTCCACACGGAAGATACATATGTTGAAAGCATTTTTGTAAACATGATCCACAATTTTCTCAGTAGAGTTGTGGAGGAATTGGAAATGGATTAATTGGCCCCAGTACAGCTCAAGTTGAGAATGCAAGATGCTAGGGACTTACAGATGTACCTTTCATACAATGGCAGACATGTATCGCGTGCATGATCCGAAGAAGAAAGCTTTAATGCTAATATCTGAGATTGTCTACAACACAATTGCAGGGTAATGTTGGATTTTATTGAATCGAATTCAAACGCATAACCCCACACAAAAGAAGCAACATTAATTCTATTGCGAGGGTCCAGCCAGGGTGGCTAAATCTGTCACAATATGGGTCACGGTCTTTGGTTGAAGTCGTTGTCCTCAGAAGCTTTATGTATCACAATCTAACGATCCTTTCCATCTGCAAAATGAGCATGTTACCTGCAAAAAGAGAAACTAATAATATAAATTCTGTTCAAATTTTTTATATTTCAACTACCATTTTGATGATAACCAAAAAGAAAAGAACTACCCTTTTTAATGAAATATGAAAGCAGAGGGTTGTTTCTTTTTTTCTTTTTCTTTTTTTTTTTAAATGATTATGGGGTTTTTTTAAATTTTTATTTACAGTTAAGTGTTTATAGATAAGTTTTTGCATCTCTTGATGTTAATCTCTTCTCAAACAATTTTAAAAATACATTTTTTATATCGATTTGGTGCATGTAAATAAATTAATTTTTTAAATAGTGATTGGCTGTTGAATGAGAAGCAATTATTTTCCGCGCATGTCGCTCAAACCTAAAGTGGTCCAGCAATAGACTGTTGATCTTAGATGACAGGGGCCTGGAGGCAGAATAGGCCCATTTTTTCTGATTTTGGGCTACAGAAGCCTGTTTCATTCGTCATTAATCTAGATGGATGGGCCGAAGATAACTAAGCTGTCATTTGGGCTATAGCAGAGACTGGGAATTGTGACCCAAAGCTGATTTCTTGGATAGAAGACAAATATCTGACATTCTGCATATTCTCTTATTCTCCATAAAGAAAGAATAACAGATGATTTCATATGGAATTACACATGTTATAAAACCAAGAATAATTTTGTTAACAACGGTTTTTTTTATAACAGTTCCTTAGAACCTGAGATGAAGGTAGCTTTTACTAAATCATTTTACTTGGTGAGACGAAAAATCAACATACATCAACTCAATTTGACAACAAATGACTGTTGTGAGGATTTGTTGTCAACAAATCATTGTTGTGTTACAGACATTCAGAACATGACCAAACCAGGAAACTCTAGGTTGATCATATTGAATCACAGAGAAAGGGAAAGGAAATGGAGTCTGAATCACTAAAATTTACTGTTGAAGATGTTGACACTAAGTTGATGGATGCCTCAGTTGAAAAGACCATATACGTCTCTTCATTTCCTATAACTGACTTGCTGAAAAACTCACAACTATTTTCTCAATCTAAGAAGACACGGCAGCTGGCTGCTGTGTTGCCTCCTCTGCTTGCAAGCTCTCGTAATACTTGACAAGGACTTTCCATCCTCCAGGACACATGAAACCATCAGGAGGGTTCTCACCATTTCTTGCATAAGTTCGCATCTGAATCAATGTAGTTTAGAATCAGAGACTTCTCCAAAGCATAAAATAGCTTTCTAAGCATTAAATAGCTTGTTCTATATGACAAGAAAACCCAGAATTAATGATGATGACTATAATTAACCTCAGACAACCAGTCTAAAGTAAGAGCAATGTTGGCAGTTTCCTGTCATGCTCCATCAATAACATGTTCAGACTATATTAGGTTAGAAAGATGAAAAATTTGAAAAATATTCCAAGTTAGTTGATGTAGTTCCTATCTTCTACCATTTAATAATACACATGGCTGAAAGGATCAAAATATTTTCTATTTTCCACCTCTATTTTCCCCCTACTAGCAACTGGTTTACAGGAACAGAACTAAAAATCCACAGAGCAACATTTTCCCAACTACTCTCTCGAGTCTCTCGAAACTGCAATGATGTGTTAGAGACTAGATTATAGAACCTTAGCTTCATAACATTTTCATCATTTATTTATTTAAGAAGACTGGGTTGAATTTCCCCAATTCAGTTTGTCATCTTCTTTCATATCCTAATCTAAACCAAGGAAACACTGTTAACTCGTTAGCACTTGTGTTTCAGACAAGCATCCCCATTCTGCTTTCTAAAGGGAAATTATCTTCAACATCCTCATTCTGCTAGCAACCCACCACCATAACATGTTGCAAATTAAAGATGAAGGTAGCTTCCAAGCACCAAATGAAGCTGAGACTTATTACTCATAAGTCTTAACCAACCAGCATTTCCTAGTTATAGACAAAATTTTGAACAAGAATTCCATCATATTCTAGAAAATCCAACCATTCTTACCTTGGTTCCAGAGATGAAGAGGAAATCTTCGGTACGTGAAGGGTCAAAAAATGCCATCTTCTTTGCTTCTGTGTCATATGCTGCCACCTGTAGACCATAATGGAAATTGAGAAGAATTCATTCAAGAGTCCATCAGCAATCATAACACTATCTCTCAAGAAGTAACTCTACATATTGAAGATTTTGTGAAAGGGAATCCTAAACCATCAAAAGAACATGACATATTCTATATGAAGAACATTTCAGAGATTTTAAATGATAAATGTGAAGAATAGTATATGGAGCTATAAGATATTAAGTATAGAAAAGTAAAAAGAATCAGCAATCAAAGTTAAGTAGCCACATTTTATGGTACCTACCCTGAATGGCAAAATGTTGAGCTTCTCCAAGCCTGGGGCCATACTCAGCACCTTCTTTCCATGGTCAGGATCATATAAATCCCTCTTTTCTGTTGGATGACCCATACCTGCAGGATCACGACCTACAATGTAGAAATTTGCTCCGGCATTTATACGTGCCTTGGCATGCCACTGCACCTCAGTTGGCCCTGCATAATGCATGGGGGATGGGAAAATGGACACAATGGTAGTCTCAGGATCTAGGACTCCATCCTCTAGGACCTGAATAAAAATGACTTGTTTTAGAAACTACAATTTTTGACACCACATGATGCAGTGAAATAATTAGATTCACTTTCAGTTCTTGTAGCAGTTAACAGAAAAATTGGTAGTGTGAAAATTCTGTCAACTGAAAAACAAATTCTCACCTGAATAATAAGAAGAATATAAAAGATTTAGAGTATTTAAGCCCAGAAATGAGGTTATAAAGGTTTAATATAAAGAAAAAATTGACTTATTTGAAAGTTATCCCTGGCACAAGTAAAGCCTCTAACAGACTTGTTTCAAAATTAGAGCCAAGAAAAACACAGGTCATTGCCAATTTTGATGGGTGTCAGCATAACTTGTCTAAATAGCGAGGCATCCAAAATCTACATGATTAATAGTAAGATTATATAGAAGAAGTTGATAGGAGAAACCTTGCTATGCTGTTGCATCCTAACATCCAAAGGCACATCATCAGCCTTTGTGAAGCCTCCTAAAGGATGCAGCAATAGAATTGGATTCTTGAAACCCATCTCCAAAAGTCGCTTCCGTGTATCATTCATCAATAGAGCATGTCCATTATGCACAGGGTTTCTTAACTGAAAAGCAAATACTGCATCCGCCTTACGCCTATCAAATTCTTCCCTGAGTTGTTTGGGAGAAAGTCTGTAGTGATCAAGCCCATCATCATATTTGATAGGCTTCAAAACTTCCAAATCCCCACCAATGAGCCAATTCCCTGCTGGCGTAATGACCTCCTCAGCATATGGCAATCCTGGCGCAGTTGTTCCCCAAGTTCTAGCAATTCTTTCTTCTTTGTGATGCTTGAAAATTTCAATGCTGCAAACATGATTAACATATTCTAATTATTAATAAAACTGATTCACCGAGTGGAACACTTTCTATTTCCTACCTATAAACTCATACCTCCTGACAATATAAAAAACAAAACATGACATGACTCGTTGAATATTGCACTAAATGAATATATCTGAAATTCAGACAGTCTGAAATGTCAAACAATTCTTAAACCATTAAATTATATTATTAACCTTTCCTCAATATTATAACTTAACTAAGTGTTCAAATGAATATCTCAATACAAAAAGCACGCACCTTCTCAAGATACCAATCAAGTCTCCGTTGGCTGCAACCAACCCCACATTAGAAGATGACCCAATTCGCTCCTTAGTCGCGTCATCAATAGCCAAAACAATGGGAAGGGACATGTTGACGATAGTCCCATCTTTCATCCTATAGAAATTGAAATGCAAACTCTGCAAATACTCATCTTCCCTCATGAACCCTCTCAACGGACTCGCCCACCCCTCGCTGAGCACATGCACCCACTCCAAATCAATCTTGGTAAGCCCCACCTTCGGCATTGACTCCGCCTCAGCAGTCTTGGCCGCCCTCAGACTCCCCGGCACCACCAGATCCACCAGCGCACCACCATCCGGCTCGATCAACGAGCTCTTGATCACAAAAGATGATTTCGACTTGGGCGAATTACTCATTCTGTGTTCGTACAAGGTGGATATCAATGGGTTGAAATGGGAAATGGATGCGGGTCGGAACTTAGCATTAAAGCTTGGGATGCTCGTGGTTTTAGTGGAATTTCCAAGGTGGAAGCTGGAAGTGACATGAAGCTTAACTGCTAAAGACATGGTCGTAGGCATTGGTAGTGTAGGGGTGGGACAGAGAAATCGGCGGAAGAAAGGGTGAGGCTTTAAATTTGACGATCATCATGGTTTGTTTTTGTTGGTGGTGGAAGAAGAAACGAAACCGAAGAAGAGGGATCCACACGTTTCTTCCAACTTGTCTTTGTGTGGACGCGAGACTACCGTTGCTCTCCGTGCTTGACCCAGCGCCTTCGTTGCGTTTGGCGTTGGACCAGATGAGGCTTTGGGTCAGGAAAGACTGCTTGATGAAAAGGAACCTTTTGGCCCATTGCAGCAGACATCCTTCATGCTTTAATTGCGAAAGCAGGATCCTAAGTGCGTCTCCATTAAAAAACTAAATAAAATAATATTAGCTTAATTTTCAAATGATGAAAATAATAGTATAGTTTGAATAATATAATATAAGTTATAATTTTAGTTATATATAAGATTAAAAATTAGTATGTATTAGTTTGACTTTAAAAAAATTTAACTCTTAACTTTTATTTAAAAATTAAAATTTTAATTTAAAAATTAAAATTTTAATTTAAAATTTAAAATTTTAATCACTTCTAAACTTAAATCTAAATTTTTAAATGTTAAATTAAAATTTAATTTTTTTTGAATTGGGACTAATATGCCTTTTTCATAAAATTATTATGATAGTAAAATTTTTTAAAATTTTAAAATAAACACTAATTATATATATTTTAAAATCTTCAATAAATATTTAATAAAGTTTTTATTTTTAAACTACTATATATTAGGTAATAAAATGAATTTAATTTTTTTTGAATTGGGACTAATATGCCTTTTTCATAAAATTATTATGATAATAAAATTTTTTAAAATTTTAAAATAAACACTAATTATATATATTTTTAAAAATCCTCAATA